AACTGTTCGAGGAGGAGACGGTGGAACACTAAGTTGTGGAAAATAGGCTCTCAACCACAATTGAGCAAGCCAAAGGGGCCCACTACGAGTAGTAGACGCACTATTCCTCAATTGGAATTGAAGGGAAATCATACCTCTATAAAAGGCGGCCAAAAAGAATGAGCACAAATTCAAAGGTCTGCTACGTACTAATTCATGTGACATGGGCAGATAACTCAGAGAGGGTTTTAGGCTGGGGACACAAAGAATGTATTTACAGAGCCAGACCTGAAGGAAAGCAACACGCTCAGCATGGGTAGGCTCAGAAATGGAAACAGTATAAAGGCCATGCATGCTTGAATAAGATTCGGCAACCTTCTTATCAAATTGAAAGGTAACACTGAAATCAAAATACCAGGAAAGATAGTGTCACCCAAGGGCGGAAGATTTACTAAGGCTCAACATCCCTTAGAGTAATAGACATTAGGCCAAGAGGAAAAATAAAAGTATTGTACTCAGAGGACCAGAAACTCAGGGTAACTAGAAAGAGCACTGGGTCATAAGTTGGGGAGAAAGGGTAATTTCTAATAAGTCCAAAATTTTAGAACGATCAAAAATTGCTTTAGTGGGACCATGATTCATCATACGTGCATGTCATCTGCGGAAATTAGGATAAGGTTTTGGCCAAATACGAATACCTTTATCGCGGATTAGCTTCAATGGCAAAGAGTTCAGAAATGGAAGGTCCTCGATGCAAGGAAACAACTGGCCCACCGCTACCTGTTCAATAGCTTCGGCATTATTGAATGACGGACCTAAATAGAATTCATTGAGGTCAGCATTAGCCGGTGCGAGGAAATTTAAATTTACATACGGCCTAGTAAGGATATTCTGAAAATCTTCGAAACTAAAAAACATCATCAGATTGAGTTTGTGAAGACGCCATGGAGTGCAAAGTGCAGTTGTGTTAAAGTTGAAACGTAGTAGAGAAGCAAGAAGATGAACAGTAAAATAGCGGGAAAGAAGCGCGAAATACAGTAACGTGGTTTAGTGGGCGAAGAAATGGCGCGTCTTTTGGATGTATAAGGGTTTATAACATTGCACCTTTTTAAGCTAAAAAAAGAAATGATGATTGAAATTC